TAATGATATCATAAATGTAAAGGTCTAAAACTTAAATGACATAAAGTTATAATGAAATAGGAAAATAAAATAATAGAGTTAGAGTTTACATTTTTTATACAATATTTTAAAATGCCCAATAGGGATATAAGAATGTCTCTTCTAAAAAACAAACCAAAATCAAAAAAATAAACGAAATGCAAATAACTAATCAATCACAGGACAACCTTTACTAGCTTTTAAAGGAAGTTCGTGGGGTGAACTATTTACAACTCCCTTGTTGATCGGGATCTGGATATTGGTTCTTTTGATATGAAATAATTAATGAATGGGTGAGCTACACTAACCTAATAAGAATATCACACTAATCACAAATACAAAAAATTAAAAATTGGTAAAAAATCAGAAAAATAAACAATAGAGCCCTTAATTTAATGTAAATTCATTTACTATAAAGAAAACCATTTATTATATATTTGTGTAACAAGTCTTCTCTAATAATAACTTATTAAAACTCATATCCATGCATTATCTATTTATCACATAGAAGATAACAATAAACAATCATTTTATATTTTTACCACTTACCAGTACCCTTGGGGGTCCAGAGGGATGTCCTCCTACTCGTGAAGCTAATATCCAATTAAACAATTAACCGGTCGTCCCCATACTCCGTCCGGTAATGAGCGCCAAATATTCCACCACCTCGATACCCCGTCCGATATGAAAGTGAACCATATCTCTCAAACTGACTTCCCAGCTCCGTCCGACTGAGGTAACGTTCACGGTAGGGTTCTCTATGTACCAAACCCGTCCACCCTTTCTCGGGTACTTAGTAAGTCTTTCCCATACAAATTTTTATTAGTATAACAATCAACCGCGTAATAACCATATCTCATTTTATACTCACAGTTTATTTAGACAACAATATAGTTTAACACAACTAAATAATTAATGATTGAAATACCGGCACATAATACAAGGGAAACAAATAACCAAATAACCAAAAAGACCCTAAAAATCATCAATTGAGTTACGCATAGTATAATAGTAACCAAATATACGTAATACAAAAAAATAAATAGGAAATCGAAACGAACATGAACTAATCGGTTCCGACTCTACTAGTGACCTGTAATTATTTTTAAGGTTCTCTAATTTTTTATAAAAATACATAATTACTAATTATTAAATCTCAATTTGTTATAACGGAGAGAAGAGTGATGGATCCTTATTCGAATCGGTCTCTGAAACACCGAATTTTCTACTGCGCCTACTGGCGATTCCTGAATTTTTTGAATTTTCCTGCGAAGATTAAAACACGTTTCACATATCTAAAAATACCCCCCAAAAAACTCAAAATCGATGTTAAAAATCTTTATAGCCAATTTCGAAGTTCCAGCACGACAGTGCCGCCATGCTTCGGCACCGACACCACCGCCCTTAGTGGAAGTTTGCCTCAATCTGGTCGTTTTTGGCTTTTTTTGGCTGGTTTCGACAGCTTTTATACATATTTATGCGAAAAAAACACATTAAAGGATCTCGGTTGATAAAAAAAAATCAGAAAATGAAAACCTACCAATAGTTGAGTTTTTTGGGTGCGGCGGCTCTGTCGGCTCATATTTGCGGCTGGAATTTTTTTTTTTGATTAACTTATAGAAAATAGAACAATGAATACAACAATGAAAAATTTATACGAAACATGAAAGGGGAAGAGGCTCATTAGAGAAGGTTGCAGGTTTTTCCCACGGTGGCTCCATTGGGCTTTACCCGTGGTTTCTGGCTCACCCGTCATTCGTTTGACTCCGATATGACCACATGGATGCTCAGAATCAAATTCCAAGTGGGCAGGAGAATTTTTCTTCTTTTTTGGCGGTTGGAGGTGGCTTCGGTGCGGTGGTGGTCGACTCCCTTCTCCAGCGATTGGTTCTTCTTCTCTGGCGGGAGGTTAACAGCTAGGTTTTGGGTTCAGTGTGATGCGAAATATTTATACCCATCTCGCGTTAATCTGAGTCATTCATCGCATTTGATCTCGACCATTCGATCGCGTCTAAGGAGAAAACAAATCTGGATCGTTCATCGCATTTAATCTCGACTGTCCGATCGTGTTTAAGGAGGAAATAAATATGGACCGTTCATTGTGATTTGATCTCGATCGTCTGATCACGTTTAAAGGGAGAACAAATCCAGACCGTCCACGATTGCAAGATCGATTTCGGGCAGATCACTTGCGTGGCATCTCACGTGGCACTAACATCAACATGTCTTGTCATGCGGCGTACTCCTATTCGTCGGGGTTGTTGATTGGGCGGTCCTACGTAATAAATTTTTTTTTATTTGCACTATGACCCCCAATTTCTGATTTTTCTTTCAAAAACATCCACCGAATCCAAATTTTTACTTTTTTTTCTAAAATTGTTTTCAATTTCATCTATAATCTTTTTTTTCATAAATTCAACAAAAATTAAAATAAATTAATTTAAAAATAAATTTTTTTATATATTTAAAATGTTAAAATTAGTTCCGAACCAAATTTTGGATCCGGCTATTACAACTCTCTCCCCCCTTAAAAGAAATTTGGTCTCTCAAATTTGTGTCCCTCTCACTCAATCAAACAGTTAGGGATACTGGGCTCTGAAGTTTGATTTTACCTCCCATATGGCCTTTCTCTATGTGTGATTCTGTTATAGAGCCTTAATGAATAGAATTTTTTAGTTACGGAGTACTCTGCTATTTCGGTCTACAATGTCCAATTGTACCCCTTCATAGAACAAATCCTCCTTGAGTGAAAGGGGCTCGTGGGCCAAGATGTGATAGGGGTTTGAGTTGTACTTGCGTAGCAACGACACATGAAATATATTATAGACTCTAGATAGTTCTTGAGGTAGTGCTAGTATGTAGGCGACGGTACCAATTCTGTCTAAGATCTCAAATTGTCCGATAAATCGGGGATTTAGTTTCCCTCTCTTACCAAATCTACTGATTTCCTTGAAATGAGTGACCTTGAGGAACACTTGATCACCTTCCTCAAATTCCAAATCCCTCATTCAATTGTCCGCATAACTCTTCTGCCTACTCTGAGCCGTCTGGATGTTTTTCCCGATCTTAACTATTTTGGCTGTAGTCTCCTCCACAAGATCTAGATCGAACAATTTTCTATCACCCACCTCTTCCCAACATTGAGGGAATTCTTTCAGTAAGGCCCAAGCCCAAGACAGTTCTTAAAGACCCAAAATTTAAAAAAGCACCTTATATTGTCCAAGCCCAACATTAAAAAACTCTTTGTCAAGCCAAAGCCCAAACAATTTATTAAAGACTCAAAAAGGGCCCAAACCCAATAGTGAGAAAACTCTCAGTTAAGCCCAAGCCCGAGAAAGTTATTGAATGCCCAATAATGTTCTCCTCTCTCTAAGTAAAAATAAAAGAATTCAGGTGTATTAATAAGCTTCCAAAGCTGCAAGAAGAGCAATCATTTTAGGTATACAGCGTAGCTTTCTTTGTCTCGAGCCGCTGACGGAACGGTGACGTTTCCGCGTTTGACTTCTGTAGAAAAGGAGAAAAGGAAGCTGCCGAGTAAATGCACACAGGTCTTCGTCTTCTACAGAAAGCGAGATGTCTCTGATCCACCGTCTTCATTATGACATTTTGTAGGAAAAAAAAAAATTCAGATACCCACAGTCGAAGACCTCATCAGAGTATCTTCGTCTTCAATCTTTCAAGCCACTTTCTCTATGCTGTAAAGTAATATTAATCAAACCCTTCATTACATCTGTTCATGGCTTGATGATCACTTGATCTTCCTCCCCTGTTTCTACTTTTTCTCTTCTTCAATGCCGATTTTCCATAGAAAACTACTGTTACCATTTCTCGGACAAACAGATTTTCGCTTTCTCATCGTCTGTTGCGACGAGGAATCGAAGCGATATGGAGTTTGCGAGAAGGAGAAAACGTGTTCCAAGACAAACTTTTCTCTGTTACCGCCACCGCCTCCGGCGGTTCCTCCTCCACCGGAGTTTGATTCCGGCATAGAGATCTTTAGCAAACATCATTTTATCTCAACTACCCTGATCGTCGTGGCTTCTTTAATCGCTTGTTTTTTCCTCTTTGCCATCGTGTGTGCGGTTTTTAGGTCTTACTATCGGAGAAGAAACAGATCGCGCCGGCGACAGCCGATAATTTTTGGCACACAGGATTTTCTGGACGAAGATCACGGCCCGAGGGTCGACCATCCGATTTGGTACATCAACACGGTTGGGTTACAACAGTCGGTGATTGACTCGATTGCCGTCTTCAAGTTTAAGAAATCTGATGTGTTGATTGAAGGAACTGACTGCTCTGTTTGCTTGAGTGAGTTTGAAGAAGATGAAAGTCTCAGGCTCTTGCCCAAATGCGATCACGCGTTTCACATTCCCTGTATTGATACTTGGTTAAGATCACACAAGAACTGTCCACTGTGTCGAGCTCCAATAGTCTCTGACGCCATTGTTGCTCAAGGTTCTCCTCAAACAGAGGTCGACTCGAACGAGTCGAACTCAGCAGCGATAGAGGAGGAGGAGAGTCATGGAGTTGAAGGAGGCGAGACCAGTGAAGACAGATCTGGAAGTACATCGGAAGATTTAACGAAGATCAGTTTGAGGAACTACGATTCTGAAGGCCGAATTTTAAGCGATTTAGGAAACAATCAGTTAACTGCAGAAGAATTGCAGCCGATTAGGAGATCGATTTCCATGGATTCATCTTCTGCTTCGGTGATTTACAATGCTGTGAGTGGAATTTTGGCTGATAAAAAATTACAACCTGGAAGCTTTGACTCTGAAATGGCGAAATTGAAGATTGTGGGAAAGCGAAGCGGGAGTGGAAGTTCAAGCTTATCGAAATTCATGAAGAGTTCTTCAGCGAGGTTGCAGAAGGGACCTATTCCGATGAAGAGATCCTTATCGTTCGCGTCGGCAAGAAGAACCAGCAACCAAGATTTAATTCTACCCCTTTGAGAGGCCAAGTTCCAGACGCTGTAAAATCCCAAATCAAGAAACCCGTTGCATATATAAACATATATATATACATATATAGAGTACTGTGAATCAGCCAGTTGGAGTCTTAAAGGGGGAGATAGCATATGTACAGAGAAGAAGAAAGAGTTTGGAATATTTGAGCTGGTTTTCTAATCTGGTAAAACTTGAGAATCAACCAATTTTAATGTTTTGTTGCAGAAAACAAATCATTTGATTAGATAATGTTTACCAGTTCAGATCTTTTTTCTCTTCGAAATCTGAATTTTTTTTAGTTTTTTTTTTTTTTTAAAATACTATATAATATCATGTATACACATTATATAATATTAAAATTTTAATTTTAGAAATTAATGATGCTTTATGTACCGTATAATTTTGGATAAATTTTTTTAATAAAAAATGTGAATTAACATAATTAATTTATTATTTTAATAATATAATATATGATATTAATATTTTGACTGAAAAGTCAACGATTCTCATTAATCTGCGAGTTATGTCTTATTTGATTGAATGGGCTACGTTCACATCTGGGCCCATTTGGATGCTGACTGAACATTCAATGCTTTCCTTGACTAATACCTGTACTCAAGCCCAACTCCCAACTTAAACTTGTCTTTGTTTTGACACACCCACACACATATATATATGGAATTTGATATATGTGATACAAACGTGTATATGTATATATATATATATATGGAGAGTATTATAATTAAAAGTTTGAAAAGCTAGATGATCTTCGAAGGCTGTCAAATATATATATTCATGGCAGCAGCTCCTTGTGTACTCATAAGGAAGGAGCTTTATAGCTTTTCTTTTCGACTTTATAGCTTTGCTTTCTACTCTGCATGCTTCCTTTCAAACTTACTTGTACGTGAACATCGAATCTCTACTTGATATACTTCGCTTTTCAGTCCATATCTTCAACCCTTTTTTTAATATAAACTCTCCACATATATGTATATAGATATCTATATGTTCGTATATATATATAAACAGTGCATCCATTGTCTTAACGATCAAACTTTATGTGTATCTCTACTTGATGCATACCTCGCTTTTCAGTCCATATATTGGCCCTTTTTACAAACCCCATATATATATATATATATATATATATATATATGTTCGTATATATAAACAATGCGTCCACTGTTTTAAGGCCAAGCTATATATATATATATATATAATTATCCAAATTGAATACTCAACTTTTGGTAGGGATTTTTCAACACTGACAACATCATGATTCTTCCCATGACTGTAAAATTAGGTATCTTTCAAATTTTAATGATACCTCTTGCTTATCCATTCCTATATTATGGTCGCTCGATAAGTTTTTTTTTTTTTAATTCATAATTTAGTTAATTAGGTTTTTAATTCCTAAGTTTTATGATTAATTACATTTGTTTTAATTAAAATTAACATAAATTTTATTAAAATAATATAATAAAAATGATATTGTATAGTAATTTCTTAGTTCGAACAATTTTATTAAATTGCTAGATTTATATATTTGTAATGTTGGATTATATTTTGTTCATTATGTTTACTATTATGATACTTTAGATTATGTAATTCTATTGTTATTGAGTAGTACGAACGAGGGATTCTTTGAGATATGTAGTACAATAGAGAAGAAACAAAATAACAAATAGTAAACTATATATATATATATATATATATAACAATGGGAAAGTCTTTTAGCCAGAAATGAATCTGTCTGCCTATCATCATCACTAAATAAGTAAACAAGAACATGGAGATGTTAGAGAAAAAAAGATGTTGGACTTTTTGATTTCCCAAATATACCAAGTATGTATGTATATATATATATATATAAACATATATATGTACACAGAAAATAGTTATTTATCATTACCTACATAGACCCACTATCTCTATAGCCCTGAAAAGTAGAATTACATTAAAAAAAAAAAAAAAAAAAAAAAAGTCTTCAACTTTTTCCTTTCCTAATCTCTTACGCTTCCATTAATTAACTTACATGCCAGCTTAATTTGTATAGAAGCTGAATTGTACAGTGACTGAATAGGAAACAAGGGTCAACCAATGCTATTTGTCATGACTTTTGGGCCTACTCTGTCCCCCAAAGGCCCACCTTTCAAAGCTTCTGAAAACTTGCATCATCACAAAAATTTTCTTTTCCATCCTTTAATTTCTTCAAAATTTTAAGAAAAACTTTCATTACCTTTCAAAAAATAATTAATTTTTTTTTCTAATAATATTGAATGTATAAAAGATTAATTACTTTCCCAAAAAAAATCTTTTTACTTTTCTTAAAAAATTATCATAAACTTTTAAAATACAACTCCGAAATATCATATTCGACGAGATTCTTATCACATTTGTTAATAAATCGTTTATAAATCTTCTCCGAATGAAAATTATGTTGGCGGGTTATAATATTTTATTTGGATTATGTTGCATGATATTAGGAACGTCTACAATTATCGCACAAAAGGGAAAAATTCTACATGATTCTTGAATTTTTGTCATGAATTCTCGACTAACACTAGAACAAATTTCTGTATATTAACAAAAAATTTGAACGAAATCGAAGAGACTAACTAATTTCGACAGGCAAACAAACTAGTTCATATTCACTGAAGACAAGTTTTTGGTAGTACAAGAAAATGCTAGTAATTAGTACAAAAATAAAAATTCTAAACCTAATAAGTTGGACCAAATTGAATTAAAAAAGAAATTACAAGTGGAAATATTTTTTTTGCAATTCACCACACTGATTTTCTAATTGATGAATTTAGCTTCTTCTTGGATTCTAACCACCATCTCATAAACAGCAGCTGCTATCTCATTCACTGAACCCAGCTGACAATCGTCTTCAACCTGTCTCCAAAATTAACCAAACTCAAAGTTATTCAGAAAATTTTGGATTTTTTTGTTTCTTGATTATCAACAATCTGGTACTGTATATGCTTAATTTAGTCAATTTAGTGATAATTAATCATTATGGAGCGAGGTTAAGTTCGATGTTTTGATTATCTTGGAACGAGATTAATATAAGAACATTCTGATCGTTAATTACCTTGACACTAAAAGAGTAGAGGACCATGTGTTGAGAGGCGGTGAGATTAAGGTGAAGAATGGTGAGGCCTAAAGAAGGCAATCTAGCTATCATCTTCAGTAGCTGTTTTGGTTGTCTTCTTGACAATATTTTGAGGTTGACATGAGTCTCCACCATCGTAACTTCAACGTCGGCAATGGCCAACTGTTTCTCGGCCGTTGATTTTGATAACGAGACTGAACTGTTATTAATTTTGTTGGGGTTCGATGAGGATGTTGAGAATTGGGGGAAAGCAAAGAAGTCTGAGAAGAGAGAAGAAGAGAAGCCACCATTAATGTTGATTTCTGAAGCTTGGTGGAATTCTGTCATCTTCTCGTGACCTTCAAGTGATTGGAGGAGTTGCTCAAGCTCTTTCACGAAGTTGATTGCTCCCCCTACTATTGATGCTTGGTCCCCCTATTTGTACAAAAGTTAAGCAGAACTGTATATTTTTGTGTGTACTTATTAAAAGATTATATTATAATTACCGTGTATATATAAAGTGGCTAACTAGAATTGGTAAATTTTTCTTTCGAATTGATTGAAAACATCAACTAAAATCAAGAAAAGAAAAATAACTATATATACTTGTTTTGTATAATTGGGTAAATAACTTTATAAATAAAACCCATAAATGGTTTGGTGATAATTTGAATAGAGAAGGAAGAAAAATTGGAAAAGCTATCGTACCCTTTGAACAAAAGAGGCAGGCATCATGGAGCGAAGAACAGCAAGGTACTCATTCATTTGCCTTCTCCTATTACGCTCAACGGCAATGTGAGTCATCCTTTGATTCTCAACCTGTTCTTCATTCTTCACATTCTTCGCTCGCCGTCTCTTTCGCCGGCACCGCGTCGCTGAAGCCAGGACTTCCTCCGGACCCAGCTGCTGGAACCCATCGCGGCCGGCGGAGTTGTTTTCCGGCGAGGAAGAAAACGTGGGAGCTTCCCAATGAAATTCCTTCATGAGAATATTATGATTTTCACCGCACAAAGGCTTCTCATCCTTACGGTCTAAACCGCCGGGATAGCAAAAACCGCCTGCTATGCTGTATAAATCTCTCGAGCCGCCGTAGCTATACGTCGGGTCATGATGAAACACCACTGCTTCAAGTGCCATTCTGATGATGATGATGATTTCTTGCAAGCAATATCTTAAATGTCAAAAGGAGGAGGAAGAGTAGAGTATGAAGAAAAGAAGGTGGTCTAGCTAGCTTATAAGTCGTGCAGAAGCTATACAAGTAGTGGCTGATTAGCTCATGGGTAATTAAGGAAGAAAACTAAGCAGATTACGTAAGTACTGTAATTGTCTTCTCCTTTTCTTAAACAGTTTTAAAATATATGATTATTCCTCCACCAATTTGCAGAGGTTGGTGATTCTCTTTCTCATATAATTACATATAAAATTATATAATGAAAGAGAAAGTTCTCATTTTCTTTGTCATTTTAGGACCAAAATGTTGAGAATACATAATATGTTTCATATATATATATGTACGTATGTATGTATGTATGTACGTGATAATAATATATTGTTTAGAGGAGAGGTAGGAGTGGTAGAGTAGTACTTTTGGTTGTGTTTCGTGCAATGACAAGTCATGAATTAAATTAAAGTCTTCCAGAAAGATTGGTCATTTAAAATCAAAGTCACATTCTCACAGAGAATCATAAAAGTTTTAGTAATGTTTATTATTATATGTTATATGTAAGTTTGAATTATATGAATTAATTTCTGTGTTTGTGTGTGTGTGTATACATATATAATATGTGTGTGTAAAGAATATTAATGGCGTTGTTCTCTGGGGAGTCGGGAGAAAAGGTAGGTTTGATTTGGTGATGATGATGATGATATATATGTATGTATGTATATATATATATATATATATGTATATACAAGTAAAATTAAGGGAGCGAGAGAGTACGTGGCAGGTTGGGGAAGTAAACTAAAGCGAGTTGAGTAGCAGTGAAGCAGGTTGGGAGTCAGTGTTAATGTCTGCCAGAAAAGAGAGGATCCATGTGAACAAGCCTCTTCTCTTTTTTCAAAAATATTCCTACCTTACACTTAAACTATAATATAATATGTATATATATATATGTGTGTGTGTGTATAATTTCTGGGTTGAACAAAAATAAGCCACACATTTATGAATTAAATAATTTATGAGGATGATACATACGTATATTATATATATATATATTCTTATAGAAGACAATTAACTATGGTTTATTAATTAGTAGCTCTGGGAACCAATTGATTTAGTGGGAAAATATTGGAAGATTACATATATACATATATACGTGTGTGTATATATATATATAATATGTTTTTTAAATAAAATAAAATAAGATTCTAATTATCATATACATATATATATTATCAGTTAAGTTGAAATTCTAATCTTTTAAGAGACCTCTACAAGGTGATTTGCATGCACCCCCATACGCACGCACACACACACATATATATATATATATATATCGATCTCCTATTGTATATGCAGGCGATCATTTGCATGCACCCCAAATACAAACGTATGTACATCTCATATTGTGTATATACTTACAAGTATAACAGTCAAAATTTAAACTTTAAGTGAAATATTACTTGTTCTATTTCAATACTTGAGATAATCTTGGCTGGTGATCTACTTCCACAATTTATAGTGTATATATATATATGTGTGTGTGTGTGTGTGTGTGTGTGTGTATGTATATATATTGCAGCCTAATTAGTTTTTGGACTTAGTCAAAACTGATCAAACTCATTTAGACTTTCAATCATAAGAACATGATATATACATATACAGTAGAATATAAGTATATAGACAGACAATAAAATAAATGTATGTTGTGAATCTATGGAAATTATAAAGATTCTTTCGCAGAAAAAGAGAGAATTGTGATGGCGACATATCTTCGTCTGTGCCAAAGAGAGTGTATGACATATTTGTATGCAAAACGTTTCATGATTCATAGGAGATGGAGAAGGACACAAGGAAAACGAAGAGACCACATACATACATACATACATATATATATACATATACACACATATATATATATATAGAGAATTTTCTTCAATTCCCGTAAGAGTAAGGCAAATATATACATAAATTAACAACATATTATAAAAAATATTAAAATTTCGAATATTCAACTCGTATAATGAAAAGATTATAAAAGATTACGCCGATAAATTTATATAAATATTTCGTTTCGTCTTATCATTTCGACAATTATATCATTATTGTTACTTAATTATTAATGTTTTTTTTTTCATTTTCAATTTTTATATATCTCGAGAATCTAAACCCGATTCGAAATATCGATTTCATATAGCCCGTAGTATCACACTCACATGGATTGTTGTATGTTTGAATCTGCTGTGATGAAACATGGTGGGGCTAAATCAAACTGGCTCAGGTGTTCATTTTCTTGCAAAGCCAAACAGCAGCAAATTCATGAATCTCCTTTTTTGCGGGCGTTGTCTGCACAAACACACACATATAAACACATATATATATATATATATCTGTGTGTGTGTGTGTGTATATATACACATACCTTTATCAGGGGGCTCCAGAAATAGTACCTTGCTTTTGCTTGAAAGAAATTTCATATTGACAGTCAAGAAACGGCAGGAAAAGCTCTACTTCTTTTTTTTTTTTTGTCTTTTTTCTTTGCTTTTGAAGAGTATTATATTCGCTTTTTTCACTTGTTTAAACCGTGTGGTAACGATGTGGGACATAAATTGAAAATCTTGAGTGCTTGAAATATAATATAAAGATACCACCGTTATAAATTTACAAGAGATATTAACTTCAAGTCAGACAATACATTCGTATATATTATTGTTTAGAGGTTGATTGATATATATTATCTGATTAATAAATATATAAATTTACTCAAAAAAAATACTTTATAATATATTAAAAAAATTAAAATACATAATTTACGTAAAAATACAATATAATTAAATAAAATAAATTATTTACTATAGTGTACGTCAAAATATATATTAAATAATAAATTAAATTAATTTTTTTAAATAAAACTTTAAATGATAACGTAAAAATTTAATATAATATCTTATACAATATATATTCGTACTATACATATTTTTCGGTGCTAGTAACTGAGTAAATAATTTATTTTTTTCTTTACGATTAAATTATTGAAAATAATTGCTCAATTATTTGTCAAGTACACGACCAAACCTATTAATTTTTAAATGATTGATATAAAAACATTATTTTAAATTAGAATATATATATATATTAAAGTATAATCTTACTTAAATTTATGATTTCATATACAAAAAGAGGTTTAGTAATGAATTTAATTAGTTAAGCAGAGATTTAGTCGTGGGAAAATGTAATTAATTAAGTAATTAATTTAGTTAATGAAATATTAGAGATAGAATTTTTTTTTTTTTTAAATATAAAAAAGAATTTGTCGTGACTCGCTTGGAGAAAGCATCTGGTCAATTTTGGATTTAGCAATTCTGCACACGTGGTGAAGTCTTAGCCTGACATGTCGGGGTCATGTCCAATGATTAATTCCAAATTATTAATTATATGATATTACCTTGAAGGCTTATAAAATTCATAATAAATATTATTTTTAGGATATATATATATATATATGTGGAACAGATTTATAATACATAAAAAAAATTTACACAAATTCTAAATTTATTTTAAATTTATTTTTCTAATTCTCTCCTTTTAAAAGGAAACATGTAAATTTTTTTTTCTTTAGGTAACGATTAAAAAATTAGATCTAACGTAAAAATAAATATTTAGTTAATAAATAATTCATTTTTTGATTTTCGACTCTTTTAATTATTACATATGTTCTAAATCGGTGTAATATAATATGTATATTTATTTATCTTTTTACTTAAAATTATAGCAGATTTACAACACGATTTTAGTAAAATAATAAATTTTAAAAAAATTATTTCATAAATACTTACCGTGATAAAAAATAGTAAGAGAACAAGCACACTTTGGCTAACACTATAATATAAAGTTGAATGTTATATTTGAAATTATGAATAGTTTCTAAAAAAATAATTTATTGATTTTATCTTAATTAATTGGACGGTAAGTATAATAATTTACTTTACGAATGAAATTTTTCATTTAAATCCAGAATGTCACAGGTGATATTCTAAATTATCTTTAGCATACTACTTTAATATCTATATATAATATAATCAGTCGTGCTACAACTTGTTTGAAATGATATAATATACATTATGCTCATTATCTCGATTTGTGATTTAATCATTTAATTTAAGTAGATTAGTGCATACTTAATTAATTGATTTGTAAATAAATATAGATTATAAATAGGTGTATGTATGTATACATGGGGTTATACACCAGCTTGTTTAATCTTCTAAACTTATAGTTTAATAATTGTTGGTGTTTAGTACTCGATTAGAAGTCAACAGTATTGTAAACACTTTTTGATTATTTCGGGCAGTGTCGTCGTGACAGGTGACCAATTAAAACGTAATTAAATAAATGTATAATATATATATAATTAATTATTCTTTTATTATATATATGTTTCAAAAAAATTATTAAATATTACCTATTGCTATATAAAATAATTTAGTCCCGAACATAAAATTTTTTATTGGAATTCATTTCTTTATGTGATTAAAAATAAAATTATGGAATTTTATAAATTAACTCTCTTTTATTGCTATATATATATATATATATATATGTATTCGTGTTGTCTTTTAGTTTATGAAATTAATGAATTAATTAAAAAAATATAACTATATTTATAACAAAAATGCATAAAATATAAATTTGGTTTATTAATTATTTTATGAAAATTGTATTATTTAATAGTACTAAATCATATAAGATAATTTATACTTTTATAATTAAAATGGTAGGTTGGTACGATCGTGTGTGTATATATATATATATATATATATGTATATAATTTTGACAATTATTGGGTTGTTGACCTCATGTATAGGGATCATAAAAAGGTGTATATAGTTGTATACTACTATTGCCGGAAATATCCATTCATTTTTTGATGATTTATGAAGCAAACTTTGAAAAATATTATGCAATCTATTAATATGTATGTATATAATTATAATATAACATTTAAAAACCAATGAGATTTAGTATAGTTTTTTTTTATATAATAATCTTTATATTTTGAATTAGATAACAAGTATATATTAATTATAATATAATCTTGTAATAAAAATAGGTGAAAAATAAAATATAACCCGAATTAATTTATAAATAATTATTATATGTACTATCAAAATTACACATCTTTGTATTTAAAATTTTATATAATGTACATTTGTAATTAATAAAAAAATTAAATTATATTTTATATTTAAAATTTTGAATATATAATATTAAAATTTTATCTCTGTATTATATATAGTTATAAATAATAGTAAATTATTTTTTATTTTGAAAAAATCGAAAAAAAAAAACCCATATATAATTTTTTTAAATTTTGTACAAGATATTTTAAGGGGGCATCAAATAAATGTAAAACTTCCTACGATAAGTCGTAAGTGCCGAGACTTATATCTTATGACCCCCACCACCTTTTTACTGAAGATACATATATCTATATGTATATATATGTGTGTATATATATATATGTATATGTATAGTAAATAACATAGGGAAATCTCTATTTTCCTTTTTTTTTTTCCTGAAAAAATATTTTTTTGCAAAATCAAAGCAATAAATTCGTAATTTTCCAACATATATATATATATATATGTATATATATATATATATATAGATACAACGTAAACACAGACATTGTATTCCATAAATTATATTTGAGGCCTTCAGTGGGCCTCTATGTAACTCTAATGGGCCTGTAATGGGCCTCTAGTGGGTCTTTAAGTGCATATAATGGCCTTGTAATGGGCCTGCAACGGGCATGCAATTTGTCATTAATGGGCCTACATGGTTTCTAATGGGCCAATGATGGGCCCTTAATGGGCCGGTTGTATTTAATGGGCCCTTAATGGGCCGGTTGTGTCTTTAATGGGCCTCTAATCGGCCTCATTGGCTTCGTATGTGTATTTCATGGGCCTTTAGTAACGGCCCTGCGACTGTTTTAATGGGCCACTAACGGTTCTTCAATTGGTATTTGGTGGGCCTGTGCATGGGCCCTTAATGGGGCAACTGGTGGGCCTCTAATGGGTATTTGATTGGTCTTTGATGGGCCTTTAAGGGGCTTCCAGCAAAAAATTAAAATAATTTAAAAATAATAAAAAATTATTTCCTTTTATTTTTCGAATCAAATTTTCTTTTTTCTAGCTGTCCTACTAAAATTATTTGAATATAATAATAAAAATATGAAAACCACATTTAAATTAATCTAATTTAAAATATTTATTAATTAAATATAAAATAATTGAATTTTGGTTAAAGGACACGTTTTTTTTTTTGTTTTTGGTTCTATCTTTATTTTATTTTTAAATATTTAAATTAGTATTTATAATACTTTATTTATATAGATAGAGATACACAGACAGGCAGTATGTACGAGAAGATTAGAGAGAGTAAAGCAGCCCCACACAATCAGGTTGTATACCATATATTAGATTTGGGCCTCTAAGGTGCTTTAATGGGCCTGTAACGGGCCTAAAATGGGTTTTTAACGGGCCTATAACGGGCCTGTAATGGGCCTCTAGTGGGTCTTTAATGGGTTTGTTATGGGCATTTAATGGGCCTTTAATGGGCCTGGTTCTACTGGAATTAATTGGGTTGGTGAACTCATTATCTGAAACTTCTAGCTTATATACATGCGTGTGAGTTTGTATATATTTTCTTTTCATATTTACTTATCATGAAAGGAGAAAAAATAAAAAAGAAGAAAACGATTAATCAAACATCATATACATCAACCACTACATATATATATACATATATAGGAAAGATGATAGATATAAACATGGCTACTAATATTAATATATATATATATATATATATATATATATATATATATATACCCTTTTCAGAATTCTTGAATTCCTATGTTTAAAAAAGCAACAAATTCGTAATTTTCCAAATTAAATATTTAAAAATGGTAAGGAACCCATTTCTATATAAACCTATATATATATATATATATATACACACACACACACACACACACACACACATATACACACACATATACACAAGTCGTATGTGTGGGAAGATTAGAGAAAGTACAAGTTTTACTTGAAGGGGAAATAGTTACACAACACAGCACGCTGTATATCGTATATTGGATTTGAGGCATTTAATGGGCCTTCAATGGGCCTCTAATGGGCCTTCAACTGGGCTTTTCTAGGCCTCTAAATGTCATTAAATGGGAATTTAATAAGCCTCTAATGGGCATATGATGGGCCTACAATGGGCCTGTAATGGGTCTTTAATGGGCCTAATGGGTATTTAATGGGCCTAAAATGGGCCTGCAATTGACATTTATTGGGTCTCCAATGAGCCTTTAATGTCCAATTATTAATTTCAAATTATTAATTATATGATACTCTTTTTATGCGATTAACCATAGGGTATGTTAATCAGCACTTACATATTACCTTGAAAGCTTAATAAAATTCATAATAAATATTATTTTTAGGCTATATATATATATATTTGGAACAGATTCATAAGACTCATCTTAATTAAAACAATAATAAAAACGTTATTAAAAATAAAATAAAAATTAAATATGTTAATAAATCAATTAAAATACAAATTTTTTTACATAAATAATTCACTTATTAATTTTTGACTCATTTAATTATTACAGATATTTCAAATAAATGCAATATGATATATATATATATATTTATTTTTTTACTTAAAATTATAACATATTTACAAAATAATTTTAAAATACTTAGAGTAGGACCAATAAGATTAGTATATTTAAAAAATGATCTCAAAATTTATTCACAAATACTCATACTAGTAAGAAATAATGAAAAAACAAACATATTTAATATGACAGTACAATAGATATTTGTATTTGCGTTTCGTTCATAAAAAAGAGTTTGTTAATTTTTTTTTAATTAGTTGAATCGTAAGTGTAATAATTTATTTTACGAATGAAATCTTTTATTTAAATATAAAATAACACAACTGATATATTAAATTCTCTATAAAATTCTCTCTCTATATATATATTATATAATTATTTATTTTGATAAACATATTTAGGTAGATTGATGTTTGACAAGAGGTGATCAGAGTCAACAAAAGGTATGATTGGAGTAAAAAAGTGAAGAGATATGAGAGTCCCACACTAGATGTGGTGTGGTCGGTTGTAGATAAGAGATTCCCTTTGCCTTCCCAATTACTTATTCACCTCAAAACAACAATAACTTGATCAAGTTTAACCTATTCTACTTTTGTTAAGTGCTTCGTGTAGTTATCTAAGTCGGTAACTCGCAAGTTAGATCGAATTTAAGTTTCGACTTTTATATAGTGCAAGATTAATATGTATTACGTCGAAAAATGATATTAGAAAGTTCAATCAAATTCGTAAAATGGTTTGTTTTGATAATTTAATTACTAATCTATAATATTAGAACAAATATATAGTTATTTTGATCTAACACTAAATTTTGTAGAGAATAAAAGTTGTAGTTCAATAAATTGCTAGAAGATTTTGTTATTAAACTTTGTAAACCTAAGTGACATATATATATATATACTTTACTATTTTAAATGCATAAAAATTTTAGAATAAATTACTAAATTAATTTTCAAAGTTTTAGCAGTTGTTATGATTTTCTTGTCCCTTGTCTCTTTGAGTCTCAAGGCAGAATGGAAGGCTAAGAGGAGTGAACACGCAGAGCAGAAGTTACAAATAAAGGACTAAGCGGTTCTTTTCCCATCCGCCAAATTATCTTCACCCTTCCTGGTTTTATCTCCATTTTTCTTCTGCTTAAAGCTCTGAACTTTTTCCTCTAGGAAAAAAAAAAGCTCTGAACTTTTCACTACCTTCTTCTATCTTACCTAATGAAGAAAATAACCGAAACCCCACAAGACAGTACACCATTAGATATCCACGCAAAAGGTTTTTGTTTTCCGTCTCCCTCTCTCTCTCTGTCTCTGTCTCTCTCTCTCTCTTCCTTCTAGTCTTCTTATACTTCCATTTCAGCACTTTCACTCCCCTTTTTATTATTCTTTTAACACTTTAGAAGTTTGTTCTTTTCTTCCCATGTTATTTAGTGGAGATTTTTTTATTTTGTCTTGGTTCAAGGAGATGGGATTAAACAAAGATATCTGATCAATGCAATAAATTAAACCCAAGATCTCATATCAAACGATATGCTTGTTTGCGAGGTTGAATTTGGTATTAACTGATTGGTAAGCAAGGAACTGGAGAGATTCTCCCAAGTGATTTTTTAGGGAGAGTCTTTCAATAAACTTTAATCTTTTCTTCATCTGGGGTCTTTAACCCTTTTTTGTTTAGTAGATGGATTCTATATCTTGGCCCTTTTTGGTGCACTAGGGACCCCGCATTATCCATGGAACTTGTTCTTAGCAAATGGATAGTTACTTTTTCACTTTCTTGTTGGCTCATCTTCTCTGCAGCACTTTCAGGTAAACGCTTTTATCCACTGCTAACTTCTTTTTTCTTGATTTCTTTCACTGTTT